CCCCCTTTCCCCACCCTTTCTCCTTGCCCTTCCCTTCCCTTCTCTTCCTCTTCTTTGCCTTTTTTGATATCTTCTATTTGAAGTGGCTCAGGCCTGGAAGACCAGGGCCTTCCCCTTCCCTTTCCACCTTTCCTTCCTTCCCTTTACCTTTACCTTCCTTTCCTTTACCTCCGTCCCCCTTCCCCCTTCTCAGATTTTCCCTTCCCTTCTGCTTCTTTCCCCCTGCCTTCCTCCTTCCCCCTCTCCCCACCCTTTCTCCTTTCTCTTCCCTTCTCTTGCTCTTCTTTGCCTTTTTTGATATCTTCTATTTGAAGTGGCTCGGGCCTGGAAGACCAGGACCTTCCCCTTCCCTTTCCACCTTTCCTTCCTTCTCTTTACCTTTACCTTCCCCGGTCTTAGATTCTCCCTTCCCTTCTGCTTCTTTCCCCCTGCCTTCCTCCTTCCCCCTATCCCCACCCTTTCTCCTTTCCCTTCCCTTCTCTTCCTCTTCTTTGTCTTTTTTCGTATCTTCTATTTGAAGTGGCTCGGGCTGGAAGACCAGGGCCCTCCCCTTCCCTTTCCACCGTTCCTTCCTTCTCTTTACCTTTACCTTCCTTTCGTTTACCTCCTTCCCCCTTCCCCCTTTTCAGATGCCCCCTTCCCTTCTGCTTCTTTCCCCCTGCCTTCCTCCTTCCCCCCTTTCCTCACCCTTTCTCCGTTCCCTTCCCTTCTTTTCCTCTTCTTTGCATTCGTTTTTATCTTCTATTTGAAGTGGCTCGGGCCTGGAAGACCAGGACCTTCCCCTTCCCTTTCCACCTTTCCTTCCTTCCCTTTACCTTTACCTTCCTTTCCTTTACCTCCGTCCCCCTTCCCCCTTCTCAGATTTTCCCTTCCCTTCTGCTTTTTTCCCCCTGCCTTCCTCCTTCCACCCATTCCCCGCCCTTTCTCCTTTCCCTTCCCTTCTCTTCCTCTTCTTTGCCTTTTTTTGGTATCTTCTATTTGAAGTGGCTTGGGCCTGGAAGACCAGTGCCTTCCCCTTCCCTTTCCACCTTTCCTTCCTTCTCTTTACCTTTTACCTTCCTTTCCTTTACCTCCTTCCCCCTTCCCCGGTCTTAGATTCTCGCTTCCCTTCTGCTTCTTTCCCCCTGCCTTCCTCCTTCCCCCTTTCCCCACCCTTTCTCCTTTCCCTTCCCTTCTCTTCTTCTTCTTTGCCTTTTTTGCATCTTCTATTTGAAGTGGCTCGGGGCTTGGCCTCTCTCGTTTTTCACCAACGTTGTGCCCGCAATTTTTTGTTCCACCTGGCCTCTTGTGTTTGAAACCGTCCCGGCGGCAAATTTCCAAACCCTTCAAATAGAAGATTGGCACAAGCAATTTCTTGTATAATAGACTCTCCTCTCCTCTCCTCTCCTCTCTCCTCTCCTCTCTCCTCTCCTCTCTCCTCTCCTCTCTCCTCTCTCCTCTCTCCTCTCTCCTCTCTCCTCTCTCCTCTCTCCTCTCTCCTCTCCTCTCTCCTCTCCTCTCTCCTCTCCTCTCTCCTCTCCTCTCCCCTCTCCTCTCCCCTCTCCTCTCCCCTCTCCTCTCGCCTCTCCTCTCGCCTCTCCTCTCGCCTCTCCTCTCGCCTCTCCTCTCTCCTCTCCTCTCTCCTCTCCTTTACTGAGTAGTGTTCACAGAAGATTGGACTGGCCAGGGCTGCCGTTGTCAATTTCCTCTAATTGAAACCTTTCTGCTGAGCAGTATCTTCTATTTGAAGTGCCCGAAATCGTAAAAATCGGTCTGCGGAGATTCTCTGGACGTTGTCAGTTTCTTCTATTTGAAACCATGGCCCAACTTCCCAAAAATGACTGCCTTCTATTTGAAAATATTGTTTCTTATCTTCTATCTTTCCCGTTCGGATTATATTTGTTGCCTCTACCCGCTCACCCTGGAGATGTGCAGATGTGGAGGCTTTTGGGCTGTTGCGCCTGGGGTGGTTTGGGGTTGGCCTCCTTGACCTGGAGTTATATTGCTGTCCAAAAGGGGAGCTGCTGCGAGCTAGGGTGTACGTGCTTTAGAATTAGAACACAGTGGTTTCACGAATAGGGAATTGTTTCCTTTGCTGTATTTTTTTTTTTGCACCTAAGAATCCACTAACATTACATGTCTTGCGGACCCGGTTGCAGACAGATTAGTCGCGTCGCAGACGTGTTGACGGAGCTGCGAGAAGGCAACCGGTGAAGGCGTTTGGAGTTGTTCCACGCGACGCAAACACCCCGCGGTTCTGCACGTCGTTCTGCCGTTCGGTGCTTTGCGTGTGGCTGAGCCTCAGACTTTAATGTGTCAAGCGATCGTCCGCAGCTTTGATGCCGGTTACACGACCCACAAAGCGCTCCAGATCGCTCCAATATGCGTCCCTCCCCTCCCAAAACAACTGCCGATGACGATTGACAAGTTCTGTCTCATGCAGAACTCCCCCTGCAGAAAACGGAGCATGCGACTAGTAACTTGCAAGAGCGATTTAAGAACCCCCGGTGCTAGATCCTGGTGCCAGGGTTGCCGCCCACAGCCACTTCTGAGACAAAACTGTTTTCTCCCTGAAACAAGATGAAGCAGCACAAGTGAGTGACCCCAACAGCCGATGCTTAGCTTAGCCGTACAACTTTGTCACGCGAGCGCTGTCCGTCTGTCACGGGGGTTGAGTGGATTCCGAGATAGGTTTTTGTTTTTCCTAATTTTTCTTCTCATTGTTGTAGACATGTTGCTTATGTTCTTCGTTTCTTTAAGTTGCACCTGTGTTGTGAGGTGTGACACCAGATCATGGAAGCCCACTGTGAGGAAGATCCCAAAGTGGTCGCCTAAACCTTAAGTGCATGTGATTGGCGGCCAGGAATTGTGTCAATTATTTTTCGATCCAACAACACACAGAACTAAAAAGTACAACAATGGCTTTTGTTTGGGCCTTAGCTACCTGTACATGCCACTGAGGTAGCGAGAGGTGCTTGGTTGGCGAAGATCTGAGATTGAGATCGGGGGCACATGTTGTCGAGGCAAACGAGTCAAGAAAACGGTAAATGCTCCACTTGACGAAACTTTCTGAAAAAAGTGCCGTCCAACATTGCAAACCTTTGGATTGTATTCGCTTCAAAAGTGGGGTAGTAGACACCTGAGGAATGAAGGACAATCTCATCATCCTCGGAGTGGGCACTTAGACATGATAAGATACGATAAGATCAGTGATAAGATCTACTGTCCACCTGCGTCTCGTCTTCCAAAGACCATGTGCCACGGGGAGAGACCACGCCTCATGGACGTGAAATTCGCGCGACATGGGCGACCGTGTCTTTCGATGTCCCGAGCGAAGATGTCTCGAGTCGGGTCATCGACCCAGATGTGCTGAAGATCCTGCCATCATCTCATAAGAAAACACCTTAGTTCATAGCAACCAGGATTTGTTGATGTTGGAGAGTTGGAGATGTGCAGAAAAGACCATGTTTGAGTTGGCCATCATCGTCTATCATTGCAGAAGACAGCCATGAAACAATTGGCAGAAAGGGCCAGCCGGTTGTCTACGTGGCTAAGGCTCAGAAGTGGATGTGGATTTGTGATGTGCAGGAGCCCGGGCCGTGGCCTTGGGACCCATCCCCAGGTGGAAAAAGATAGGAACCATGTCCGAGTCTGTGGCCATCCAAAGTGGGAAGCGGATGTGACATCACTTTTGGACTTGTATCATGATGACACTGTTATATGACAATGTGACCTATATCTGCCCTTCAAGGCTTCGTGGCCGTTTCTTTAGAAGAAAGACTGAGACACCGCGAACCACGAAGACGTTCTTTCTATGGAGACATCGCATCGACGGAGACATCCGCCGGTTTGGTCAGGTCGAACCGGTGCGGGTCGCCGATCCGGAACCCGAGGCGGTTCCGCGCTGAGTGCGGCGCAGGAGACTGGGCAGTCTGGCGCAGACCAGCACATCACAAAAACAACGTCAACCCTTCAGAAACAGTGGATATAGACCTTTTTAGGTTTTTGCTCGTTTTGCAGGCATGTTTGATGCCCAACTTCCAACCCAATGATCTTTTGTTGATCAACCACCGGGGTATCACTATAGTATACCGGGTGCTTCCGCCATCTCGCCAGCGACCGCCGCATCGCCGACCGGACGACTGCGGTGCCGTTGGTGCTGCTCCGAGCCACTGGGAGTTGCAGTTGGCTGAACTAAATGATTTAAACATAGATGGCTGTAAGCTCTAGGGTCTTGAACCCAGAAAGCTAGTAGTCCATTCTGTTCATTTTCTCTGATCAACCCAGATGTGAAAGGGCATTTGGCCCCCAAAAATGTGTCTGAACCTTCTCCAGAAGAGATCCAGAGGTGCGGTGCACTGTTGTTTGGTTGGTTGGTCATCGATGTTCCAAAAGAAAGCCGCAATGAATACCATTCTTGCACGGATCATATAGGTTCACTTCGACCTTTTGGCCAGGAGGCGTGCCAATGCTGCGACGACCGACCAGGCGGGCATCTTCCGAAGCCTTGGAAAAGCGATCGTTCTAGTTAGATATAACCATGCATTAAAACCATGAGTCTCCATGAGTTCTAAGTTCTCTTTCTGTTTTCCAAACCATGCACCGTTGACCATGCATTTGTCGCACTCGGTTTTTCGGACTCGAGGTCCATCGTCTCGGACCGAATCCAGCGATTGGCTCCGATGTCGCTGGTCCTGCGGCTGGTCCTCCCCGCTGTGTGGGGAGTCGCCCTGCCGGTCTTGGGTCAGAATTCCTCAGCTGGAGAGTCCGATGTTCACGAGCTGGATGATGTCACTTGGACCACTGCATTCTTGTTGATTGGCTTCGTGGTGATTTCGGTTGGGATCCTCTACCTGGTGAATAGCAAAGATCCGGACATGAGAAAGGCCAGTTGGGTCTTGCTGAGCACCACCTTTTCGATCTTCGCAGCCACCACCCTGGTCTTTGGGATAGACAGGTTCTTGCATAGGCGTGAGATCAACGGGGACTGGCTTAGGCTTGCCTTTGCCCTGCTGGTTTTCGTGCTCTTCCACCTTCTCCTTCTGTGTGTCGATCCAAATGTGCACGGCTGGGAGCACCGCATTTATGGCAGGAAGGTTCTGGGAGGCCACATCGAGGCTTTTGCTGCGATTCTTTTCTTTGGATATTTTCAGAAGTCCTCCTGCGAAGAAGTTTGGATAGTCTTCGCGGTTCCTTTGCTGGCTTTTGTCGCCATGGTGCTCGCATATTTGGCGGTTCTATGCCTTGCCGAGCATTTTCAGCCAGAGATTCTGACCCAGAAAGAGACACAGGTGGGTCAAGCTCGGTTAATGCAAATGGAAGCAAGTGCCATCACAGTGGGCTTTCTCATTGTGCAAGCTGGGTGCTTCTCCACCAGCACGGAGTCTAAGTGTGAGAAGAGATTCATGCCCATCACAGTTCAAGTTCCCGGAGAAGAACCGCCTTTCAGTGTTCCTGTCCTTCTTGGTGTGGGTGTGTTTTTGCTTGTTTGCTCATCAATTTGGTCTATGCCGTGTGTGCGCTCGCACTTGCAGGAGTGCCACCTTCACGAGTGTCTTCATTACCTCGACGAGTTTTGGGGGGAACTCCTCTCTGTGACTGCCTGCTGGTGCTTTCAGCGTGCCGGTCTCATTTGGTTGTTCCAGTTGGTTCGGCATCGCATGGAATGGTATCTCAAGAAAGTCTGCGAACATCTCGAATGTGAACCAGAAGCCCATCACATGGAAGACCAGCAAGCTACAAACCGTGCTCAGATTGTCAATGCATTGTTGATGTCCATCATGGCCGTTCTTTGTGTCTTTCTCCTTGACAAGCTAGCAGATTGGATTGAGGGCAAGATCGGAGAGGTCTCTCTTTGTGAGTCGTCGTCGTCTGACGAGCATGAGCTGCACGAGCTTCCACAGCTTGAGCTTCCGCAAGACGAGGGTTTGAAGCAATCTGATCCACTGCAGCTAGACATCGCCTCCGGATTAAGGTTTGTCATGAGTGGTTTGGGTATGTTGGTTGGAATCTCCTGGGATAAGGCCTTTGAGACCTCCTTTGACACGGTCTTGGAAGAAAAATCCATTGGTTTAATGGTGGAAGAATCAGACTACATCAGCGACTTTGTCGCGAAAAATCCCCAAAAGACCACTTCCATCATCTTTGCCGTGCGTCTGCTCTTGTGTTTCTTTGTGGTCTATGCATGGTATCACCACATCTTGCCCCATGCAATGAGAAGCGAGGATGCCCATCAGCAAGACATTCGCACACAACGGAGATCCTTTCAACGCCTCACCTTGCCCAAAACGCCCAGCATCTCACCGACCTCACTGGCCCCTTACGAGCGAGCCGACCAGCGAGCGCTGTCCGGCTCCACTCCGGAGGTCTCCAGCTCGTCCGGGTGAGGCGAACGGCGACCGCCCAAAGCGGTCCGTCACCTGGAGTCGGATCGGATGGAAAAGGGGCGAGGCCGGGCGCGAGGCTGGCCTTTACGGCGCACGGCTGAGCCTTCATGGATGCAAATGGTGGTTTCATGTGGTCTTCAGTTGAAAAGAATACCTGAATACCATTCTATTCTATGAGATTTCCTGGTGCTTCATGTTGGAACGCAAGACACGCTATCAACCCTATAGTGACATCCACACCGTGCGAGGCCGATGTTGTGATTTTGTCGGTGACGAAAACGCGGTGCGTTTGTTGGATCATGTCGTTTTGATCGTCGTCAAGCCGATATGTTTTGATGTGTCGTCTTCCCAAGTCTGGAGTTGCATAGTTTTTCCCCACGCAGTTTTACCTGTATGGGGTTAGTTCTCCTTTTAAAGGCTTATGTGCATAATGTCTCCCGGCTCTTTCCTTGGCTGATGTTTTCTCTGCCTACTCTGGATACACTTGGCCGGATGTCTTTACACTTGTCTCCGCTTGTCTGTGTGCCCGGATACTCTTGGCCGGCTGATTTCACACTAGTCTCCACTTATCTCTTTGCTTCTCTCCGTGCTTGTCTCCCACTTGTTTTTACACTTGTCTCTACTTGTCTCTTTGCTTGTCTCCCTGCGTAGATACTCTTGGCCGCCCTGTGTGATGGCACACTGTATGTTAGAGATACCCCAATGCGACATTTTCCACATTTGGGAGCTGATTTTCTTCTACCAGGGTGCCAGAAACAAATTCTTAGTGCCTTAGTGCTAACGCGCGCAGGGTAAGCAGCTGCAAACTGTAGACCTTTCATTTGATAGTCGTTGTCTCCAATGCCAGGGTAAAGGTCTTAGGAATTGTTCCAGATTATGATTTTCTAAGGTGCGAAGACCCCAATGAGGAATCCCCACTCTTGCACGACCCCCCTTTCGCGTACCTCTCATTTTGGTACCTCGTACCCTTTTGCGTCAACATAGGTGCCAATCATGAAATATGGGATATGTTATCGTATGGCACCTGCTAACCCGAAATGTCCCATAATATGGGGTATGGGATGATCACGAAAACAGGCATACATCATTGATATAAATCATTCTGGTTCAGAAACTGTCATTCACTGAAATGGAATGGTTTTTTTCTCCCATATTTTCTCCCCATAAAGGGCGACCATTGACCTTGGCTTCGCAGGTGGCCGACGTCACTTCTTCTGTTTCGGCTGGACGTCACAATCTCAGTGATGGGTGTGAAATGCTGTCACAAAACCGACCTTGCTCCAACCAAAAACAGCTGCAAAAACAGCTGGGGGACTTGGTGGTAGGGATTCCTTGAACAATTGGTCAAAATGGTTGTAGGATTTCTTGAAAACACACGCATGAATAAACCCTGGGGTCATCGTATGGTGAAGCCGAAATTTGGAGCATCAGAGCATCGGGCATTGGTATCGATGTGCTGATCCCCAATGCCAGGTTCGAGTTGCTGCTCACCGAACCACCGATTTTTCGATGATGGTCCATGTTTAATGTTAAATCTACTTATTAAGATTTGTGGTTGATAGTGAATGTCTGAGAACTAACGACTAATTATATATTATATATAACAATTCAGAATGGTTGACAATTGATAAGCAGTGATGGCAATGAGTGACAGCCCCAAGTAGGTGCTTTCCGACGCAATCTGAGCAGCCCATCAGCCTTGGCGGCAGTTGCCACGGAGCTGCGCTACAGGAAGTGCTTGAAAGATCCCTGGTTCATCTTCGACGCCCTTCTGGTGGTCCGAAGTCCGAGGGACCAGAACCTGTGTGTTTGTGTCATCAGAGGTTTTTCCGGCGTGTTCTTGGGAAAGAAATCGGCCCCGCGATGTGTGACTTTTGGATAGAGGTTGAACACCCGCGACGCTGTAGTGCTGTGGAGCATCGGTGTTACAGGAGAACACCTGGGAGGCAAAAAAAGCGGACAGGTGGACTATGGCTGCGGGCACCGTAGTCGTGTGAATCCAACGGAGGATTATAGGGGTGAACGTCGCGCCGGATCCAGCCACACCCCGGGAATCCCAGAGGAGTACTGCAAAGAATCTTGATGAATAACCTTTGATCACTGTACAATCACTCATAGCAAATGACACATCACAATTCAAAACGTCCGTTACCACGAGTTGCGGCATCCACTATGCCCCGCATCCATATACACCTGAACCTTCAATCGGAGCACTTTTTTCTGGCGAACCAAGGAAATGAGCACTTTTTGGAGTTTCGTAGCGTTTTTTGATGAAACGAGCACTTTTTAATGAGTTTTAATGAAACGAGCATTTTTCAAAATGTTGAACACTGAAGTCTTCTTGGGCCAAAGGTGGAAACTCGCAAAATGCGCGCAAAATGCCGCAAAACACGCGCAAATTGCCACAAAACGAGCGCAAATTAAAAAGTGGCGAACCACCCCAACATGGGTTGGATATGAGAGGGGTCCACGTGCGATTTTTGAGTGTTTGTAGCGCTTTTTGCTTGAACGAGCACTTTTGCAAAACGAGCGCTTTTTTTTTGTAGCGAAGGAAGGTTCAGGCATGTATCTTGGATCTTCATCGCTAGCAACCAACAGATTGTACATTGCACCCACAAAAACACATTGCAACCACGAAACCCTGAACATCTCGCTGGGTGTGGAGGCAATGCCCTGAAATCTGAAGACTGCCCTGCTGGACTCTTGGGAGCGTCACGTGTGGAACCCTGGGGAGATGTGATGTGGCGTCACGTGGACCGCGGGGTACATGGCGTTCCATGTTTGACCTGCCGGGTGCATATACATCATATAACCCAGACACGACTAATAGGACTGCCATAGGACTGCCATAGGACTGCCGATTAGTTGGGGTGGTTGAAAAGGGATCAATGTAGGCATATATGGCAGTCCCATTAGTCGTGTCTGGGTAATGTAATACAATATAGTAGATATGTGGCCATGGCCCCACGGGCACCAGCAGATCCCAGGTAGCTTTGGCTCAAGAAGATTCAGGAAGACCTTACCTTCGGCCAGGTGCTCTAAAACATGTTCCAGCTGCTGCTGCTTGCTTTGGTGTGCCCAGCTGCCCAAGCGTCAGTGCCTCCGGGCACTTATGCGGTGCAGAACAGTTGGTCCAAGCAGTATCTCAATTAAGACGTCGATTCGCACGGTGGATTCCATGGTGCCGGTGCGAATGTGCAGGTGCGGTCTGACCATTTGGCCTTGGAGTCTCAGTGGGTCCTCCAGACACTGGGTGATGCTGACATGTTTGCCTTTCAGAACGCCAGGTCTGGGAACTTCTTGAACGAAGATGTCAATGGCGGCTCCAGTGGCGCAGGCAACAACGTGCAGGTTTGGACTGATGACTTGGCTCCAGAATCCAGGTGGTCTATCATCTTTGATGGAGGCATGTATCAGATCAAGAACCAGCTTGGGCACTACCTCAACCAAGATACCAATAGTGCTCGCAATGTGATTACTTGGACAGATGGTGCTGCCAGTGAGAGCCATTGGATTTTGATTGCTTTGCCCGGCAACCAGAGCCTGATTGTGTGAGCCTCAAGCCGCCACTGAAAAGCCAGGGCAGCCTCTTTTTTTCCAGGGCTGACACTGACTGCTTGTGCGTTTGGCGCTTGCAGTATGGTCACAAAAGAGCGTGTGGCAGTTTATGTCAATCCTTGATGTTTCCAAGATCAAGACAATCTAAGATATATAAGATATAATATATTCAATATCATATTCATATGAGATATTATCATATACTTACTACAATTATCATATTACAATGGCTTCTCGCAGGGCCCTCGGAGAACCACTGCTCAGTCTTTCTAAAAACATCGTTGGGGTTTTGGGGTTCTGATGCCAGACACTATTGTGCAAACGTTGCGCCTGAAGCTTCCATCCTGAGGATTCTACACAACCAGCCTGGGCATCACTGGCTCTTTTCTCGTTTGCTTAACGCTTGCTGCTTCGCTTGTCATTCAAGGACGCCAGAGATTCGAGAACATCCGGCTGCAGGCACCACGAGGTAACATGCGTTGCCCAGGAAAACTTGCTGAACACTCGCAGAAACATGGATGGAGAGTTAATGCTATAGTTAACAATGGTGAATCAAAGGGCAATATTTACTGCCATCAATGGGTGATCTTAGGTAATCAAAGGATCATCATGGATAATTCACTGGTATTTCATGGGTAATAATTTAATAATGGATAATAGTCAGCAATACAGACCAGAAAACTAACAGCTGTAATTAACTGGAAGCCATGGCTGGTTGGTGAAGGAAGGAACATACCAAGGATTTTCAGGTGCCAGCTCTGAGTTTTCTTGATCAACAAACATCGCCCCGTTGGCTGGGGCCCGTAGGCATCCTGAAATGCTCCCTGGTGAAATGGATCATCACCAGTATGCTCAGGATTCCAAACCAACAAGCCACGCCATTGGGGCAACGATTGGCCGAACACGTGTTTTTCGGGGCTGTTGCAGGTTTGTTGGACTGTGAAGCATCATGCTCCCAAGCATTCGGTCTTCGACCAAAGACCAACCAATAACATATTTTTGGGATACCCCCATCATTCATGGAAAGGCTCGTGCCCTATTGTTTGCCTGCCCGTCTTTCTGCTTGTCTACCTGCTTGTCTCCCTTCTTGTTACACTTGTCTCCAGTTGTCTTCCACTTGTCTCGACCTACTCTGAATACACTTGGCCGGATGTTTTTACACTTGTCTCCACTTGTCTGTTTGCTTGTCTCCCTGCTCAGATACTTTTGGCCAGATGATTTTTACACGTGTATGCCACTTGTTTCCCTGCTTGTCTTCCAGAAGTGAATTGATTTCCGATGATGGCCCGATGCCAAGTCATTATAGATAGGTTAAATTGTACAAGATTGTACAAGCGTCCAATTTCCATATATATGGACGGTTAGAAAGAAGACATTGCACCTGTCTAGTTGCATATCTATACTATACAAAGGTCATGGTATTTCTATCTTTCGCAGGCTTGGTTTTCATGCATCTCATTTTCACCAAAGCAAGGGAGGCTCCCGGTGTTTCGACCGAGTCTTGGCTCGAGCGGCGCGGAGCCGCTCCGCGGAGCTCCTCCGGAACACGGGGGGCGCCGCTCGCCTGGAGAGTAAGCATTTCCCAGTGGCCAGGGGCCGCGAGAGCCATGGATGGCTTGGCTTTTCTTCAGGAAACTCACCAACAGGTGAGAACTGCTTTACAACCATTACTTCAACTGGAAAGGACTCTCGGGAAGATGGCGGAAGCTCAGAGCCCCTTGGAAGTTCATTTGGCTTGTCGGTTCATGAATTCACGATGCTTGTCATGAATTCGGCGCTTTCGTTCGCTTTGATCTGACGTCATGCGGACCTGAGGCAATTCCTCTCCGTGGCAGGCAGACCTTTGGAAAGACGAAGAGGTGGAGTTGAATGGTCAGGTCGACCTGAATGGCCATAACCTGAATGGCCAGGGCATGGTGGAGATGTTTCAGCCCCTCACTATGGCTACCTGGATGCAGGACTGGCGACAGGACTGGCAACAGGACTGGCGAATGCGCAATAGACGCAGTAATTTTATAGTAATACTGCTAGTGTTCATATGCTTGAGCAAATGCATGGCTCACTTGCCTTCCATTTCCACGGACACTCCATGGTCCTGCATGGTATATTTACCGATCAGTTGGGGTGTTGGTTATGTTGATTTGGGGGGTCAAGGGGGGCGGCATAGATTCCAGTCCCAAACAGGTCGTGTCTGGGTATATATATATATATATATCCCTAGGGCTCCAAGTACCTCCTTAGAAGGTATTTGGACCCTCTAAACCCACCCCAAACACCTTCCAAGAAGGTCCTTGGAGCCCTATAGCGTATATGTATTTCCCTCATCTCATCTGGAACGGCGGGGCCCGCCCCGACCGTTAACCGAGGTTCTGAGCGGACAAAGCGACAGCCCCACCAGTCGCAACAGCAGCATCTGGGCGGCTAGACGAGTGGATGGTTCCAAGACCATTAGTGCTGTTGACAATAATGGCCGCTTCAACGGAATTCACCAGTTGAACCAAGTATACTGCTCATTTGGTTCTTGAGATTTATTGTGTCCAGTGTCGACGTTGCTCGTTTCACGCCGACGTTTCCAGGCAAAGATCCGATGGTCCGACAGGTTACCCCTTTTGCTGAAGAGGAAGCGGTCCAGGCGCTCCCTCCGTGTCCAGGGACCGGGAAAGGTCCTGTGGAAGACGAGTGTCTCGGGTGGCGTTTTGAAGCTGAAAGGTGACTTTGGAGACTTCCAGGTGGGGAAAACATCCTGTTTCTTCGAAAAGAGTATACTTTCTGCAGACCTATCGTGCAGTTCTTTCCGGCTTTCCGAGCGCGGCGCGACGCGCGGTTCCTCCGAAAGCGAAACGGTCTTTGGGAACATGATGGTCTTCATTGGTCTTCCGTGTTTGGAGTTGATCCCAAGAGTTATGAAGAGTTGCAACCTTTGATCAACCTATATTGACCTATATTGGTTCACTCCCTGAAAGAATGGGAAGTGGAGTTCAGTACAGTTCACCACGGTCTCTAACCGGTTAGAGGAACAAACATGCTTCATCCTTTCGTGGCCACGGTCATCCACGGCTCCGGCAAGACCAGGCGTCGGCCTCCATTTTCATGGGCAAGTTCCAGGACGTCATGAAGCTTGGCGAAGCAACGGCTCCAACGGCCTGAACGGGCGTAGAACCGGGGGTGTGCGGCGTGTGCGGTGGGCAGCATGGGGGGCAGATGGAGCTGTGTTTTTCTGGATCGATAACTCCATATAGTAGAGTTGTTCGGTTGGTTACCAGACTACATTTACTGATGATAGGTCAGGATGCTTCACAGTTCAAGGTCTTCCACTACCTTTGATTCATGCCATATGTTTTTGTTCATTTTGTTCATCCTCTCCCCTCTCTCGCGTCCTTCCCTTTTTGTGAGGAGAATCAGCGAGGCAAGTTCATTCAGTGACCTGGTTCTGCATCTGTCGCAAGGCTTTCCACTATGAAGGAGTCAGACTGAAGCCTCTCAGGGCATCTTAGCTCACCCACTTCTTAGTTTCTTTTCTTGAGAGACTCAGAACCTCGGCTCGCTGCCGCTTGCCAGCCTGGCACTCACCCAGGTCCCAGCTCCGAAGCCGTCGCTCCGCGGGCAGCCTGACAGCGGGAGACGGGGGGCGGTTTCGCGGTCCAAAGCGTAGCGTTGGACCGAGGATGACCGGGGGTCTTCAAGGTGGTTCGGCTCCTTTTGTGGGGGGCAATTGGGGGGTCCGAAGCATCGGATTAAGTCGCATGAAGCAAGAGGTATACCTATATGACGTATCATAGTTTTTGTCACTCAAATGTTCTGTAAGTCGTGTGTCATTTGGAGGTGATGACCTCATAGGGACGGGCGGCCGTCGTTTTCGTTGTGACACATGGGTCATGTACGACGCGACCCATGGACTGCCATAGAACTGCCATAGGACTGCCATGTACCCCCTGGCACCACCCCACATTGATCGGCATACATGGCAGTCCCATTAGTCGTGTCTGGGGTCGGTATGTACCAATTCTCTCCAAAGACCTCTGAACGGAAACCAATAGGTATAGAGTCACAAGGAGTCTCTCCGGACAGCCTGTTCCGTTCGTGGGACATCCGCCCCGACATGGGGTCTGTTTTGGACGGTGATGCAGTGATGCATCTGTTTTTGACGGTGATTCCCAA